AAGTGTTTGGCCGCGCAGCCTGATGCTGCTGCTGGGAGTGCTGTTGAGCTAGCGCCTTGCGATGAAGCAGGGAAGAGTTCAACCTGGGAGTTGCAGGCCAACGGACAAATAAAGCTTGGGGCCAGCAACATGTGCCTGAGCCAAGCAGGGCCTTCGCCTGGCCGTGCAGATCTTGCCTCTAGCTCCGCAGTTGTTGCTAGCTCCACATTGGACCCTGCGCACGGAGCTGCCCTTGTTGTTGATGGTCTCGCATCATCCTATTGGGTATCCAAGTTAGACGAAGCAGGCCCTGTGTCTTTGACGCTTGAATTTGACAAAGCGGCGCCTGTGCTCGAAGTAGAGCTTGATTTTGAATTTGCCCCTTCTTCTTTCGTGCTGCAAAGCTTGGGGGCAAGTGGTAAATGGATTGACGAGTTTGCAACTGACACCAACATCCTTCGAACCGCCAAGCTCCCACTGGCCGGTGGCCCGGCCTATGGCGTGAGGCTTGTGATGAACAAAGCGCATGCGACCCAAGCCGTGCTGGGAGGTCATTCCATCTTTGGGGTACGTTCCTTCAAGGTCCTTGCCCCACTGATGCGCCCGGTTGTGGAGCCTTGCGTGGTGGCGGCCAGCAGTGATGCTCGAGACAAATATTTTGCCGTGGCCGTCGGCTCCTTTGATCCTTCGTCTGGTGCGGCGCTGCGGTCGGAGCTTCCTGCTTTGGACTCTGCCGGCGCAGCAGTTGCCGCCGCAGTGACGGAGCTTGCGGAAGCAGTCCCAGATGGGCGTGCATGCAAGAAAGGCGCTGCCTTCAAGTCAAAGGCAGGACGCCGCCAGACAGTATCATCCACTCGCAAGAGTCTTGGAGGAGCAGAAATTGGCGAGCAGGAAGCTTTGTTTGTCGAGGCCAAGAAAACCATCATCGCCGCTCGCAGCATTCTGCAATGAGCCAAATGCGCAGGGCTAACTATGTTTGATGTGGCCCTAGATCCGCCCCAAGTGGCAAGCTGCTGTGTGTATCGCTGCTCTGTTGCCAGGCTCGGCTTTTTCTTTTTCGTGGCAGAAGAAGTTTGTTGCTCAGTGTCAAGAAGTTGGGTCTCCTGCGCATCTTCAGGCATCAAATGCCGTCCTGGCTGACCTGAACTTAAAATTTTTCTTCTTCCTTCAAGTACTGAGGGTCCAGCAGAATACTTGGACCCAGGGACCTGTCCCAAAAGGGCTTAGAATGGTGAGCATGTCATTGTCGAATTGTAGATAATTTCGCCTTAGCATTTCAGATCTTCAACATGACCTATACAAGTATCCATGGCAGACATTGTGTTTTTATGTTTTTTAAAAGACAGGTGCAAGGCTGTAAAGGATGTTAAAGTAGGATGCCTTCAAGATCAGACGTGCCCCCTTGACACAGCATCTTCGAAGCTTCAAGCAATCGAAATAGAACCTCGAGAGTTAAATGTGGAAGGGTTGTAATGTCATATCATTGCAATCTATACAAAGCTATTGAAAATTATATAGTGTCTTGCTTGTTTGGTTGTGATTTCATTCTTTCCCATTAAAGCCGTGCGTCACAGTTGCGCAATGATATGGTTGGACCCATGTTCCATTTCAGAGGACATTTTTGTACCAAACGGAAGCATTTTGTCGGGAATTTTGCCTAGTGAACCATACCATTTTGTAAAAGGCGTGTTTTTTGTTGGGCGAATCATTTTGTAAGAGCCAACATTCTTTACAAAATGACGTCGGGGCCAGTCATTTGATAATGCTGTTTTAGGTTCATTTCTGGCAGTGCAAAGGAGGGTATTGAAATCTTGACCATGCCCAGGAACCAAGTTTTCTTCTCCAAAACCTTTTGGGTTCCCGGGGCAAGTGGGATATGTACAAGTTAGACATATGTCCAAACCAACCAGTCTATAAGACACAAGCTTAGAAGATGACCGGGCTTGGGGCCTGGAAATAAAACTTGGGGCAGACATTTTGTAAGGCACCGATTATTGGTTTGTTTTTTGGTTCACCGGTGTTTCCCCGGGAATCACACCAAGCCTCCACCACCACCCATCTTATGAGCTCCAAATACCCCAAATCATGAGACTTTGTAAGCTCGACACCTGGGTCACCTACAAAATGCTTGCCCTGACGTCACCTGGTAAATGTGCAGGGGGATACGTTGCTCATGATTTTATTTTTTTGTTAATCATCGAAGGACGTTTAGAAGTCAAACTTCCGACAATATGGACAGATGAAAAGCAGAGCTGGGCAGAGGCAGAGAGAAGAGGACAGTAGAAGAGAGAGAATCAGAGAAGAGAAAGGGTCAGAAGAAAGCAGATGCAGATGCGCGAAAAGGTAGGAAAGTCGCGAAACACGGTTTTTCCAATGATTTGAGGCTCCGGAGGGTCGAAAAGTAGGCTCGCTAAAGCGGCGGGTGCGGAGCCAGCTGGCCAGATGAGAAATGAAAAATTGCACGCCGTTGTGGCGCGAAGCACATTTTGCAAGTCAAAATGTGCAAAGCACACCAGGTGCGGACCACTTTTGGCAGTTGAGATGTCAAAAAAGTGAACGCCGTTGTGGCGCGAAGCACATTTCGAAGTCAAAATGTTAAAAAAAACTGGGGTTCGGACCACTTTTGGAGGTTCAGATGTCGTTTCGCGTGGCAGGCGCAAGGGATTGTGCACCTCTTCAAAAGTGAGCAAAACGTGAGGGTTTTGTAGCATGTCCAAAAACGATGGCAGGCATGGGACATTTGAAGAGGATCTGCAAAGATGCATTTTCCGTGGCAGGCGCAGTACAAAAGACATGTTCATGAGAGATGTTAGGAGGTCGGGGTGCTGATTTCCTGAGACGGGTTGCATTTTGGAGTATCAGATGTGCAGGTTTGCTAAGATGATTTTGCGTGACAGGTGCAGCACTTCGTATGACCTGGCATCAATTTTCTGTGGCAGGCGCAGTACTTTAGACAGGTGGACTGGAAAAATCGCAAAACGCATTGGTACGAGGCTGTCATCTCTGCACTCAACTTTCCATTTTTGCAGGAAGTCTCTCAGAATTCTTTCGTTTTTGATGTCTTCAACTTCGAAAAATGAGGAAGTCTCGCAGAATTGCTTCGTTTCGGATGTTGTCAAGTTCACAAAATGAAGACGTATCGCAGAATTGTTTCGTTTTGGACGTTGTTATGTTCAAACATTAAGGAAGTCTCGCAGTATTTCTTCGTTTTTGATCTTGCAGATAGATAGATAGATAGATAGACAGACAGACAGACAGACAGACAGAGAGATAGCGAGATAGAGAGATAGATAGAGAGAGAGAGAGAGATATAGATATATAGATAGATAGATAGATAGATAGGTAAATAGATAGATAGGTAGATAGGTAGACAGGAACAGAGAGAAAAAGAGAGAAAGAGAGGAGACCTGGAGAATGATTCACTCTGCCATCCCTGATTCACAACAGCCAATCTCTACTATGTTGAGAGTTTCTTGAAAAGAAACTCGATTTTATTTCCTCACGCAACCTTCGTTTGTGTGTGTGTGATTTTAGCTGTTGTTTTGGCACATTACTTCAAGTCCCTCATCTTGACATTGTTTTTGTATTCCAAACTAATCATTGTATTTTGGAGGCCACAAGAAGTCTCAAATCTCAAAGGTCTCCAAGAATTCTAGAACCATCCCAGTCAACCCCAGGGGTGTGCCACTTAGATACCTTGATTTTGAAAGTATATAGTAGGGATCAGCCGAAGTAGAAATATGTGGTTTTGAAAGCTTTATTTCCATTGTCTGACATGCTAGAAGAGACTCGGAAGAGATGAGGGCATGAAGGAATACAGCATGATATAGTATTGTGGCACAGCCATTCTAGATTCTTTGCACGTAAAATGGAAAACAGGTCTCACGCATTCCAAAGCAATTCTGAGATTTCAATGAAAGTAGCCAGGAAGTTCCAATTTAGACAGGGTTTTTAGAATCTAGAATGAAGAACCCAGGGTCCCTTGGTAAAAGTTAAAGCTATACTATGAAGCACTTGTCCGGCATCGGCCAACAGTATACATATATGCCAGCATATCTTGCGATGAGCTCTTCTGGTGAAACCATCTCGACGGGAAACAACAATTCCACTTACCTACCTACCCATTTCTTCTGTAACAGTTTTCGCAGAGCTTTCGGCAAGAAACGTTCGCCAAGTCGCTCAAACCGCAGCTTGCACCTTAAGACAAAAGGCAGTGACGAGAACACGCGCGGGCTAGGTCCAAGCCAGAAGAAAAGAGAACATTGAAACAACTGCAGCTGCAACCCAAACAAACTCATGAGCAGGGTCAGGATTCAAACCTTAAAAACATTTTTGTCTAAAGTGAACTAATGAGACTAACGCTGGTGAATTTCAAGGCAGAACAAAAGCTTCTGAATTGCGCAGGCAACGGAAGAAGCGCTGCACGGACAGAGCTTCCATGCATTTGCTGTTTGAAGCATCTCTAACCCAGCCTAACTCAGCCAATTTGGACATGTGAAAAAGCATGGCGCGCTGTCCCTTCGAAATCAGACACGAAGCAAAGCAACGGCAAACCAAATGACAAGCCCAAACAAAAAAGAGTTGCCGTTTGCTTTTCGTATTTTTGCGCGTCGCGTTTTGTTTTCAGGACCTTTTTCGCAGTTCCCATCTACGCGCTGTTTTCCTACTTCGCGTCGCCTCTTTTTTTTGGTTTTCCCGCGGCCTGCGTTCTTTTGATATTTGCCCTCTCCACACACACGCACCTGCTTGTGGACTTGCTTTCTCAGAGTTTTTGCTTTTCTTTTTGCAATCATGATTGTCGCACGCATGGCTGCAATGGTTGCGTGGAATGCTTGCCACTTGCTTTCTGTCATCGCCCATGCAGTGTGCTGCGCCAACAGCTTGCCCATGCCTGTGGCAACATGTTCGGTGTGCATTGAAATGTGTCATTGGAATCGCCGATTATAGCAGGCATAGCATAGCTGCCGCTAAACGCTCACAGTGTTTGAGTCGGCCTTGTGGTGGCGGTGGTGCTTGGAATCATGTTAGCCGTACGGTTCGTTGTTGTGGCTTTTGCTTTGGCTGCTGCTGAGAAGATGCAAGCGCCTTCCAGCTTCATGCTGGTAAGTGGTGTCTCTTCACCGCGAGAGATGTGTCTAGTCGGGATGGGCCCAGCGGGTGCTTTATTGGACGAGTGCACGGCTGCACTTGCAGAGCTGGACGGACGTGAGGTTTGGAGTTTCACAGGCAGTGGCTCCTTGACGAATTTAGCTGCAAAAAAGTGTTTGGCCGCGCAGCCTGATGCTGCTGCTGGGAGTGCTGTTGAGCTAGCGCCTTGCGATGAAGCAGGGAAGAGTTCAACCTGGGAGTTGCAGGCCAACGGACAAATAAAGCTTGGGGCCAGCAACATGTGCCTGAGCCAAGCAGGGCCTTCGCCTGGCCGTGCAGATCTTGCCTCTAGCTCCGCAGTTGTTGCTAGCTCCACATTGGACCCTGCGCACGGAGCTGCCCTTGTTGTTGATGGTCTCGCATCATCCTATTGGGTATCCAAGTTAGACGAAGCAGGCCCTGTGTCTTTGACGCTTGAATTTGACAAAGCGGCGCCTGTGCTCGAAGTAGAGCTTGATTTTGAATTTGCCCCTTCTTCTTTCGTGCTGCAAAGCTTGGGGGCAAGTGGTAAATGGATTGACGAGTTTTGCAACTGACACCAACATCCTTCGAACCGCCAAGCTCCCACTGGCCGGTGGCCCGGCCTATGGCGTGAGGCTTGTGATGAACAAAGCGCATGCGACCCAAGCCGTGCTGGGAGGTCATTCCATCTTTGGGGTACGTTCCTTCAAGGTCCTTGCCCCACTGATGCGCCCGGTTGTGGAGCCTTGCGTGGTGGCGGCCAAGAGCAGTGATGCTCGAGACAAATATTTTGCCGTGGCCGTCGGCTCCTTTGATCCTTCGTCTGGTGCGGCGCTGCGGTCGGAGCTTCCTGCTTTGGACTCTGCCGGCGCAGCAGTTGCCGCCGCAGTGACGGAGCTTGCAGAAGCAGTCCCAAATGCGCGTGCATGCAAGAAAGGCGCTGCCTTCAAGTCAAGGGCAGGACGCCGCCAGACAGTATCATCCACTCGCAAGAGTCTTCGAGGAGCAGAAATTGGCGAGCAGGAAGCTTTGTTTGTCGAGGCCAAGAAAACCATCATCGCCGCTCGCAGCATTTTGCAATGAGCCAAATGCGCATTGCTAACTATGTTTGATGTGGCCCTAGATTCGCCCCAAGTGGCAAGCTGCTTTGTGTATCGCTGCTCTGTTGCCAGGCTCGGCTTTTTCTTTTTCGTGGCAGAAGAAGTTTGTTGCTCAGTGTCAAGAAGTTGGGTCTCCTGCGCATCTTCAGGCATCAAATGCCGTCCTGGCTGACCTGAACTTAAAATTTTTCTTGTTCCTTCAAGTACTGAGGGTCCAGCAGAATACTTGGACCCAGGGACCTGTTCCAAAAGGGCTTAGAATGGTGAGCATGTCATTGTCGAATTGTAGATAATTTCGCCTGCCTTAGCATTTCAGATCTTCAACATGACCTATACAAGTATCCATGGCAGACATTGTGTTTTTATGTTTTTTAAAAGACAGGTGCAAGGCTGTAAAGGATGTTAAAGTAGGATGCCTTCAAGATCAGACGTGCCCCCTTGACACAGCATCTGCGAAGCTTCAAGGACAAACATTTCTTTGGCAAGCGGCGATGGCAATCGAAATAGAACCTCGAGAGTTAAATGTGGAAGGGTTGTAATGTCATATCATTGCAATCTATACAAAGCTATTGAAAATTATATAGTGTCTTGCTTGTTTGGTTGTTATTTCATTCTTTCCCATTAAAGCCGTGCGTCACAGTTGCGCAATGGTATGGCTGGACCCATGTTCCATTTCAGAGGACATTTTTGTAACAAACGGAAGCATTTTGTCGGGAATTTTGCCTAGTGAACCATGCCATTTTTGTAAAAGGCGTGTTTTTTGTTGGGCGAATCATTTTGTAAGAGCAGCTCTGCACCCAACTTTCCATTTTTGAAGGAAGTCTCGCAGAATTCTTTCGTTTTTGATGTCTTCAACTTCGAAAAATGAGGAAGTCTCGCAGAATTGCTTCGTTTCGGATGTTGTCAAGTTCAAAAAATGAAGACGTCTCGCAGAATTGTTTCGTTTTGGACGTTGTTATGTTCAAACATTAAGGAAGTCTCGCAGAATTTCTTTGTTTTTGATCTTGCAGATAGATAGGTAGATAGATAGATAGATAGGTAGATAGGTAGATAGGTAGATAGGTAGATAGGTAGATAGGTAGATAGGTAGATAGGTAGATAGGTAGATAGATAGATAGATAGGTAGATAGGTAGATAGGTAGATAGGTAGATAGGTAGATAGGTAGACAGATAGATCAGTAGGTAGTAGAAAGAGAGAAGGAGAGGAGACCTGGAGCAAAATGATTCACTCTGCCATCCCTGATTCACAACAACCAATCTCTCCTATAGGTTTCCCATTTTTGAAACTTCCGCCACCGCCTTGTGCGGTACTACTGGTATCCAAACCAAGCGACTTGGAAATCATTTTCTCTCCGACAAGGTATAAGAGTTGACTGGCCAAAATGCGGGATTTGGATTTAAGCTGTTGTTTTGGCACATTACTTCAAGTCCCTCATCTTGACATTGTTTTGCATTCCAAACTAATCATTGTATTTTGGAGGCCACAAGAAGTCTCAAATCTCAAAGGTCTCCAAGAATTCTAGAACCATCCCAGTCAACCCCAGGGGTGTGCCACTTAGATACCTTGATTTTGAAAGTATATAGTAGGGATCAGCCGAAGTAGAAATATGTGGTTTTGAAAGCTTTATTTCCATTGTCTGACATGCTAGAAGAGACTCGGAAGAGATGAGGGCATGAAGGAATACAGCATGATATAGTATTGTGGCACAGCCATTCTAGATTCTTTGCACGTAAAATGGAAAACAGGTCTCACGCATTCCAAAGCAATTCTGAGATTTCAATGAAAATAGCCAGGAAGTTCCAATTTAGACGGGGTTTTTAGAATCTAGAATGAAGAACCCAGGGTCCCTTGGTAAAAGTTAAAGCTATACTATGAAGCACTTGTCCGGCATCGGCCAACAGTATACATATATGCCAGCATATCTTGCGATGAGCTCTTCTGGGGAAACCATCTCGACGGGAAACAACAATTCCACTTACCTACCTCCCCATTTCTTCTGTAACAGTGTTCGCAGAGCTTTCGGCAAGAAACGTTCGCCAAGTCGCTTAAACCGCAGCTTGCACCTTAAGACAAAAGGCAGTGACGAGAACACGCGCGGGCTAGGTCCAAGCCAGAAGAAAAGAGAACATTGAAACAACCGCAGCTGCAACCCAAACAAACTCATTGGCAGGGTCAGGATTCAAACCTTAAAAACATTTTTGTCTAAAGTGAACTAATGAGACTAACGCTGATGAATTTCAAGGCAGAACAGCTTTTGAATTGCGCAGGCAACGGAAGAAGCGCTGCACGGACAGAGCTTCCATGCATTTGCTGTTTGAAGCATCTCTAACCCAGCCTAACTCAGCCAATTTGCTTGGTAAAAAATCGGAGCAGCAGCGGGGTACAGGTCCCAGCTACATGTGAAAAAGCATGGCGCGCTGTCCCTTCGAAATCAGACACGAAGCAAAGCAACGGCAAACCAAATGACAAGCCCAAACAAAAAAGAGTTGCCGTTTGCTTTTCGTATTTTTGCGCGTCGCGTTTTGTTTTCAGGACCTTTTTCGCAGTTCCCATCTACGCGCTGTTTTCTTACTTCGCGTCGCCTCTTTTTTTTGGTTTTCCCGCGGCCTGCGCTCTTTTGATATTTGCCCCCTCCACACACACGCACCTGCTTGTGGACTTGCTTTCTCAGACTTTTTGCTTTTCTTTTTGCAATCATGATTGTCGCACGCATGGCTGAAATGGTTGCGTGGAATGCTTGCCACTTGCTTTCTGTCATCGCCCATGCAGTGTGCTGCACCAACAGCTTGCCCATGCCTGTGGCAACATGTTCGGTGTGCATTGAAATGTGTCATTGGGATCGCCGATGAATTGCCTTGCTGCGTCCCCTGTAAAGCAGGCATAGCATAGCTGCCGCTAAACATTCACAGTGTTTGAGTCGGCCTTGTGGTGGTGGTGGTGCTTGGAATCATGTTAGCCGTACGGTTGGTTGTTGTGGCTTTTGCTTTGGCTGCTGCTGAGAAGATGCAAGCGCCTTCCAGCTTCATGCTGGTAAGTGGTGTCTCTTCACCGCGAGAGATGTGTCTAGTCGGGATGGGCCCAGCGGGTGCTTTATTGGACTGCACTTGCAGAGTTGGACGGACGTGAGGTTTGGAGTCTCACAGGCAGTGGCTCCTTGACGAATTTAGCTGCGAAAAAGTGTTTGGCCGCGCAGCCTGATGCTGCTGCTGGGAGTGCTATTGAGCTAGCGCCTTGCGATGAAGCAGGGAAGAGTTCAACCTGGGAGCTGCAGGCCAACGGACAAATAAAGCTTGGGGCCAGCAACATGTGCCTGAGCCAAGCAGGGTCTTCGCCTGGCCGTGCAGATCTTGCCTCTAGCTCCGCAGTTGTTGCTAGCTCCACATTGGACCCTGCGCACGGAGCTGCCCTTGTTGTTGATGGTCTCGCATCATCCTATTGGGAATCCAAGTTAGACGAAGCAGGCCCTGTGTCTTTGACGCTTGAATTTGACAAAGCGGCGCCTGTGCTCGAAGTAGAGCTTGATTTTGAATTTGCCCCTTCTTCTTTCGTGCTGCAAAGCTTGGGGGCAAGTGGTAAATGGATTGACGAGTTTGCAACTGACACCAACATCCTTCGAACCGCCAAGCTCCCACTGGCCGGTGGCCCGGCCTATGGCGTGAGGCTTGTGATGAACAAAGCGCATGCGACCCAAGCCGTGCTGGGAGGTCATTCCATCTTTGGGGTACGTTCCTTCAAGGTCCTTGCCCCACTGATGCGCCCGGTTGTGGAGCCTTGCGTGGTGGCGGCCAAGAGCAGTGATGCTCGAGACAAA